TTGGGGGGGGGGGGGAGAGACAAGCACTTTGAGCCAACATGGCAGGGTGTGATACACGAATGCAACAGCTGAGATTCGACTGAGAGCACGGAGAGATACTGCAAAGAATACCACAGGATGAGAAGCATGCTGCCCATGGACATGGATCTGACTCAATCTGTGGACAGGGGCTTATATATGACGGTGGTGACAAATTTCTGCTTGTAGCGATGGGAGGCACCCATGACAATGACGTTGTCCTTGATGCTGAGGGCGTAGAGGTGGTTCAGCATGACGTGATTTGGGGGCTTGACCTGTGTTGGATCGTTGTTGGGCGGATCAGCGTTGAGCTGACACTGTAGAAGCTGTGGAGGCAAGCGGGGCGGGGGCTTGGCGTTGCGAAGGTCGGGCACTTTTTGGCCGTAGGAACCGGGGGGTGAGCCCGCACCTGCGCGCACACACACACACACACACACACACAAGCATGAACCCAAACCCGGCAGAGACAAACCCAGAACCTGGGACGGAGCTGTTTCCTCCGGCAAATCTGGCTCCCTGAAGCGAGCGCTGAGCGTGGAGCTTGTGCAACAAAAGTACGTACGTCCTTCAGCCATGTCTTCGCGAATATCAGCAAAGGAGTCGGTCAGGGCATCGTGCGGCAGTTCGGTTTGGGCCAGAGCCACCTGGAGCAAGTTGTTCACCGAGCCAAAAGAGTTGCGGAGCGTAGGTAGCCGGGCATCATGCTTCCACTCCCGATCAACAATAAACTTGTATTCATACGAGCCCGGTGCCAACAACAACTTTGCCTCAAAGACACCGTCCCTGAGTGAGTCGAGCCACAAGTGTACATGCAGGCAGATGAGCACGAGTAGCGCCAGGCCAAGCAAACATGCAAGGGCAAGATTGAGCGATAGCCACGTACGGACGACGTGTCATCTTCACAGGATCGCCCCAATGGTTGAAGGTTCCAGCGATGCGAATGTCCTGACCACCGTGGGTCCACGTCACGGTGATTTCTTGTTTACCGCCATCACCTGCTGGAAAAGAGGAATAGCAAGCAGAATAGCAAGCAAGAGTTTGCGAGACGTTTATGAGGCCAGCTAAGAGCCTGGTGGAAGGGCGATGTGTCCCGGTCAGATTGGAGAAGAAGTCCATCTCCACCTCCCGAGCCAGGCGTACCGGCGTCGTCACCGATGCGGGGCGGCGCAGAGCTCGACACCTCATCTTGAAGCGGCGGAATGGCGGTATCAGCCACCGTTGGAGAGAGAAGGGGAGAACCAAAGATGTTGAGGGCATGGCGATCACCAGGAGAGCTACTGCGACCATCTGGCGGACTGGTGGCACTGACAGCAGGGCCGGTACCCCTCGGAATGGCCATGGCCGCCGAGGGCGAGGGCACGGGCAGGGTATCGGGACCCGGCGGAAACGGTGGTGCTTGCGAGGTAAGCACGCGTGAGGGCGGTGCACCCTCATCCCGGCCCCGCATGGTGGACCCGCGCCGGGAAGCCCGGGGCGAGTCCTTGTCCTTGGTTGTTGCGTTGCCCATGTTGATGCGTCAGTCGCTCAGTCGGTCAGGCACAAGTCCTTCCGGTGTCTCTGACCGGTTGAACTGACGTTGGTAGGTCACTTCAGACCCCTCGTGACAACAACGGCCAACCATACACCTTTCCTTGACTGGCAACAGCGCTGGTGGGCCTGAGATGGCAGGCGATGACGCTATGGACGAGGCCAGGATCGTATATGGCCGCAGCGCCAGGGCCAGGGGACGATGACGGTAGCGGTGCTGTGTGCCCGCAAAATAACAACAACAACAACAACAAGCGTTGGTGCTTCAGCTCCACGGCTTGGGTTATTGGAGGAGAAGATGCAGATGAATCGTGAGAAAATGTAGAGAACGTAAAGGTATAATGGCAAATCTTAGTTGAATTTGGAGAGAAAGATGACGGGTACATAGAGAATAATGAAGGGAGCGCTGGTGCTTGAGTGCTGCTTGGATGCTACCAAGTGATACAAAGTTCTTAAAATAGCCCACACACACCAGTCGTAGCTGGATCAAGCAGAAGAGCAATAAAAGTCAAGCAACAGCAGCAACGGAGAGAGAGAGAGAGAGAGAGAGCGAGTTAGAGAGAGAGAGAGAGAGAGAGAGGAGTAGCAACAACAACAACAACAACAACTTTTTTTTTGATTTCAACAGGTACACCCCACACACACACACACACATGTCGGGCTGGATTGAGAGAGAGAGAGAGAGAGAGTCGCATGGGGGTCGGCGTGCAAAGGCGGCCAGGTTGTTGGAGTTGTTGTTGGAGTTCCTTGAGAGCAGCGTGGTGATCGTGACTGTCTGACGTGAGGAGGTGAAGGGAGGGGGACTTTGCAGAGCCGTTCTTGTCCATGCCGCTGCCATCGTCCCCTTTTTGCTCGAGAACGGTTCCGCCCACTTTTTCTTTTTCTTTTTATTTCTTCTTTCAGGCCAGGCGTTTGTGTCAACGAGCTGTTCTAGCTGTTCCATTGCCCAGTCTGAGCTGTTGCCCCACACTGCTGCTGAACCTGTCTGGTACTGACATTGGCATGTTTGGCATACTGTATAGACGCATTCGTGCAACGATCTGATCACCGGTCATCATGGCCGAGACACCGGCTGATGCCGATTTGATCGTGCGTCGACTCGACAAAAACCCCTCCCCTGCTCTGGCCACCGTCTCGTCCCGCACTCATCAAAACACCTCTGTCAACACGTTTGCCTAGTTCCCACCAGCTGCCAATGAGGATGTACCCATGGCTACCTTTCCTGATGGCACAAACGTGAATCCTGTCATGCCGCCAGCTGGGCCTACCGTATCCAAACAGGCCAGCTCGAGAAGCGTGGCTGTCACCTTGGAAGATAGCGTGGTAACCACCGACACGGACGTGGATCAACCCAGCACCACAAAATGGGTGAGTCATATCAACCAGATGAGACCATGTATTCTCTTCAAACGATCCAAAGCGCTTCCGCTTTGATGCGGATTGCCGCAAACTTGCCGTTTGTCTCATCTGCCGTTCTCCTTTTTTGCCCGGTCGGCTAGGCGCAGTCTAGAAGCTCTCGCCAGGTAAGAAGGATCTACCGTTTCTCATTGACTACCCTCTCTATGACGTGTAGACTGGCATTTAACCCGTGCAACCGCATATTCGTTTAGGCATCAAGTGCCAGCATGTTCACAGTGCCAGATATGCCCTCCTACCTCAAGATTCGCAAAAACGTGCTTGGCAACTCGGCCGGCAGCACGGCGGTTGACCTCGGAGATGAGGACGATGAGCCAGGTTCCGAGGACGAGAAGGACGAAAACAAGGAGCAGCGTCGTCGCCTCACTACCTCAGCGTCAGCCAAAGCCGCCGGGGCCAAGTATGTCACCTCTTTGCCGCTTGTCCGACCTACTTGGAGGTTTTTTTTTTCTTCCTTCCCCCCACCCTCCCCCCTTTTTTTTTTGCTGTTGTTCTGTCTAGCGCACAAACAGGAGAAAGGGTCTGGTTCAGCCTTGCCATTCTTTTTCTAGTCCCTTCTCCCCCTCTTCCCTTTCTTGCATTCGGCTCGTTGGCTCACTCAGGGTCCCGTTTGAATTCCTACACACCCAATTAGAAAATATCTGGCAAACACTCCGCCTGCCGCCGGCCCCGTTTCCCGCGAGACGGAGCGCCACAATCGGTTTGAGGGGACTCGGGAATACGTCGACTTTGTTTTCGTTGTTGAGCTTCCTGAGGACCGCAGCCGCATCAGCGTTTTGAACGAGCGTGCCAGCGATCCAAACACAGATGTCGAGGCAGATAAGGAGTTGAAGATTGTTCGCAAGCGCCAGGACTTTTTGAGCAACATCGTTCGCGATGGCATCCTTCTTCAACATGAGCTCAGCCCCAATGGCCAGTTCCAGTTCATCAAGGCCAGTGTCACCTTCCAACGTCTCATGATGGAGGCCGAGTTCATGAACCTCAAGAAGACACTCAAAAAGGAAATCAGCCAAAAATACGAGGAACAAAAGGACAAATCTCTCCGCCAGTTCATTGACGACGGCATCTCGAACCTTCAAAAGCTACTGTGGCTGATCGAGCCGAAAGTTCCCAAGGAAGAAGACTCCTTTTCGGCTCCTTTCCGAGTTCACAAGCAGAATGAATTTGAAGGCATCAACACACCGGAACGCTTTTTTACCACCGCCGAGCGCAGTGACATGACCTACTCTATCCTCAGCCGAACGCAGTATGGCAAGAAAAAATCTCAAATGGGGCTGGAAAAGCTCCTGGCCAACGGCTCTTTTGAAGCCGCTTTCCCGCTTCATGATGGCGAATACGAGGTACACACAACCAACCATGTCCGTGGCCATCATGCCACATGCCACTTCTCATGCTGGTGCTATCCCTCTCGTCGTTGCTTCTCGCACAGCTGGACGCTGATGAGATGTTCATCTGGGATGATCGTAACTATTACGATGAAACACACGCTGGTGATGATCCCAACATCCCCAACGATCGTCGACTTCTCTTCAAGGTATGCCAACAACCTTCGTTCCTTGGCGCCCCCTTCTGCCTGCTTTAGAGTGCAACGAAACAGATCATGCACACTTGATGCAAGCAAACATCACGATCCCTTTGTCTGTCTCGTCTGTCGATAGTGGTGGGCCCGTCTCCGATGCTGGTATCTTCTGCAGCCCTACGACTTGATCCGCCAGTACTTTGGCGTCAAGATTGGACTCTATTTTGCTTGGCTTGGCTTTTACACCCTGGCCTTGATTGCCCCATCTGCTCTGGGCCTCTTCGTTTTCATCGGTGGCGTGGGCAGCATGGAGGAGCAAGCCGACGTTAAGGAGCTCTGCAACAGCAATTTCACTCTCTGCGCCATTTGCGACGATGGTTGCGATCGCACAGAACTGTCTGCAGCGTGTGGGGGCTATAAGGTTTGACATTCGCACCGAGGCGCGGGGCCATCATCACTGTACATGTTGCTGTTGTCTGCGACACTTTCTTAGCCGACCGCGGTTGCTTTGCCTCTTTGCACCCCCAACCCCCTTTCAGTTTGCTTACATTTTTGACAACATTGGCACCGTCATCTTCAGCACTTTCATGGCATTCTGGGCTTCAAGCTTCATTGATTTCTGGAAGCGTCGACAGAGCTTCCTTGCCTACGATTGGGACACGCGGGACTACGTGGACTTTGAGCCTCTGCGTCCGGGCTTTCGCGGCACAACCACCCGCAAGAACCCCATCACGGGCAAGGACGAAAAGTACTATCCGGCCCACCGCCGCATTATGAAGCAACTCAGCTCCGGGCTCACTGTCCTAGCCATGATCGGCTTGGTTGTGGCCATTGTTATCTCCATTCTCCTGTACCGCCTCGCCGTTCGTGCTTCCTTGTTCAAAGAGTCCGGCAACGCCGAGAACGCCAGCATCATCACCTCGGTCACCGCTGCTCTACTCAACTTGGTTGCGATCATCTTGCTGGGAAAGCTTTATCAGAATTTGGCTCTCTGGCTTACCGAATGGGAGAACCACCGCCTTGAATCCCAGTTTCAGAGCGCGTTGACAGCCAAGATTTTCCTGTTCCAGTTTGTCAACAACTATGCGAGCCTTTTTTACATTGCCTTTTTCAAAGGTCGCTTCACAGGCGTGCCTGGCGATTATTCAACCTTCTTGGGCTTTCGCCAAGACGAGTGCCCGCCAGATCTAGGCTGCATGGGCGAACTTACGCTGCAACTGGCCATCGTCTTTGTCGGTCGCCAGACCATCAACAATTTCCAGGAAATGATTTTGCCTGCCATTTTCCGGTGGCTCCGCCGACGCTCGGCTAAGGGCCTCAAGACCAAGGATCAGCTCACGCCCTGGGAACGCGACTTTTTGAACTGCGACCCCTTCCCCTCCGACGGCATGTTCAACGAGTATCTCGAGCTTATGCTGCAGTACGGCTACATCACCATGTTCGTGCCAGCCTTCTCACTGGCACCGTTGTTTGCCTTTTTGAACAACATCTTTGAAATTCGCATTGATGCCAACAAGCTGCTGACCTCGTATCGACGCCCCCCCGCCGTTCGTGCGGCGGACATTGGCGTTTGGATGATCGTAATCAATATCATCAGCTACTTTGCCGTGATCACCAACGCCCTTGTCTTGGCCTTCACCTCAAACTTCGTACCGCGCCAAGTATACATTTATGACATTGGCGATGGCTCGCTGGATGGCTACATTCAAACCGTGTATCCCCTGTCTCCAGTCACTGATGTCAACCATACGGACTACAACTGCCACTACTTTGGCTTTCGGGATGCAGATGGCACTCGTGGTCGTTTCTATTACCAGGTGGGTTGCTGCGTGTCCCAGCTCGACTGATTGTATGACACGGAGTGGTGTGCACGAGTACACGCAAAGCCCCCCCTTGCTCTGTCTTGGGACGCGATGGATGCAATTGTTAGCATTGCTACGATGTTGCTCGCCAACTTGAATGTCCGCTTCCTAATAAACTTCTTTTGACCGGGTCGCCTCAAACTCACCTGCACTCGCTTGTCACTTCATGGCTTTAGGTGGTGGCGGCACGATTGGCCTTTGTGGTCGTTTTCGAGCATGTTCTTTTCTTTGTCAAAATTCTTATCGAGCGTGCCATTCCGGACGTGCCTGCTTCGGTGCGTCTGGCCATTCGGCGTGAGGAGTATTTGGCTCAGCAAGCTTTGGAAACGGACATGTTGCAGGAGCCCGATGAGGACGATGCTCACTTCCAGGCTCGCAAAGAGGAGAAGGCCCGCATGCGCGCCGATTCGAAGGCCTCTCGCCGTTTCTAGGGCCGTCTCTGGTCTCCTCGCCACCAGCTCCTTTTGGTCTAGCTCCCCTCGCGCTTCTTTCGCATCTTTCTGTTTTCCAAGTTGCTTGAGTTTTGGTTCAAATGTAATGAAAAATTGATGTTCAACCATGGTGGTGCTTGTTTTTTGTTTGACTACGACGACTCATTTGTATCGATGGGCGTTGCCTTATTTTTTTGGTGTGGTTTTCGATCCCCTGCAACGCTTTCACATCGGTTTTGTCTTTGCGAACCCCCCAGAAAAAAAAAGAAAGGAAATTTCAACTGCGAACCCCCCAGAAAAAAAAAGAAAGAAAATTTCAACAAAGCCAAAAAAAAAAGACATTGCTGTAATTTTGAGTTCATGCCAGGGGGGAGCCTGATACACGCATGGGGAACGAGGCAAATCAGGGCCGAGCAATCAAGTAATCATGGCATGGACAACCTGGAAGAAGGGCGATTGCCGCATACGCAACCGAGGTTGGGTCTGTAATCTTAAATGACATCGTACGAGTCCACAACGAAACGCACATCTTGCGAAAACACCTCTTCCGAACCAGTGGCCATGTTCTCCACACTGGCAACCTGCAGAGCCAAGCGACCAAGCGCATGAGAAGCTAAGAGAGGGGGAGGGGTAGGGACAGGAGCAGACAGCCAGGCAGACAATCTATTCAAATCACAAGCTGCACACCTCAATGCCAACATAGGTTTCGTGAGAGTAAAAGTCCACTGAGACGGGGAAGAAGTCATCAGCAGCACCAGCCGCAACGCTAGACCGTTCGACAACAGAGCAAAAGAAAAAATGTGAGGATAAGACTTCAGGTGACTGGATTGGCAAACATAGGGCAAGCAGGCACGTGACCATCGCTTGACTTTTAGGCGATTGGTGGTTGCATACCTGAATTCAATGCTGCCTTCATCGGCATTGCCATCCTCAATCGTGGGAATGGACCACACCAGCATGTGTTGACGTCCGTCAACCTCATATTGGCCGTCCACACTGGCGACCACAGGCTTGCCTCCTGCAGCAGGCAGGGGCACGGAGACGACTACGTCCTTCAGCTTCAGGTTCTTGTCTTGAAGTTCATAGTCAATGTTGACATCAACTGAGCCATCCGCGTTGACATTAGGCCAGCAATTGATCGTCAAAGGAATTTGGGTCTCGTCCGTTGTCTGATAGCGCCATTTGAGCACGCCCACCTAAGTGACGGAGAAAAAAAAAAAAATCAAATAATATAAATAAAAGATAAGCATAACATCATGAGGAAAAAAAGGAGGAACGAATTTTGCGTGTCTCCACCATTGATCGCATCACACCTCAGAATGCACAGGAAAGGGCTTGTCAGGGTTCTTCGACTTGATCACAGCTTCCGAATTGAAGGCCTTTTTGTCCACGTTGGGATGAGTCTGGTCCATAGGCGGCATGGTAGCATGTCAGATTGACCGTGAGTTACAGCGATCATGAAAATTTCTGCTCGAAACGGCGGATCAGTGCGCGCAAAACGGGGTGGCATTTCCTCTCACCTGAAAGTTGATGGCTTTGTCTGAGCTTCGGTTGAGGCGGACAAGAGCCTGGCCCTTGGCATCATCACTTATTAAGACAGACATCGTGCCCTTGACTTCCATGTGCTCTAACGCGCCATCGCGGTTGGCTTCCAGAGTGATCTTTTCTTCCACCTTGACGTGGATGGGCTCCATGTCCACGTCGGGTGGGGCCATGGCGGATGCTGTAGCGGCAGAACGGGCCACAGGGGCAGCGCTGGAGAGGTCTTCGACCGTCTCGCCCTCATCCATGAGGGCCTGGACAAAATCGTGGGTCTTGGCCTTGCCACCCAACTTCATGCCACTGAAAAATACAAGCAAGCAGGGCAGAGTAGAGGAGAAAACGAGTTGCGTCAGCCATTAACCAAAGCGACGCAAGATGGCGAAGCATTTAGAGCGCAATAGAGCTCAAGGTGATCGACTGACCGTTTGGGTTTACCATCACGGGCCGCTGAGGTGCTGGCAGGAGCAGCCATAGCGGGCGCTGGTGCTGAGGCAGAGGAAATGCCACCGCTACCACTGCCGCCCATGCCACCCATGCCGCCCATACCACCCATGCCACCCATGCCACTCATACCACCCATGCCGCCCATGCCGCCTGCACCGCCGAATTTGGCTGCCTGGCTCTTGGCGATGGCCAGCTCCTTGGCTTTGCGCTTCATGTGCTCGCGGGCCTCCTGCTCTTTGTTCTTTTGCACCATCTTGTAAATGTTCTCATCGTGGGATTGCATCTCCGTGTACGTGCGGATCTGGCTGAGATTGACATTTTCCCTGCAAACAAATGACGTCTTGATAAGGGTGGCCGAGCTGTTGGTGCACCTGGGTCAGGCAAAACTTCAGACCAATCAAAACAAACCGATAGCCAAGGGCGATGATCTCATCAAAGGCGAAGATGAGCTCAAACGCATGGGCCGAGACCTCTGATTCAGTCATGACGTTGCAAAATGTAGGAACCTGCTCAAGTTGCCACGCCAATGCGGGTTAGAATCAGCTCAAGGTCAGTAAAATTTGAGCCGCCTTGTGAGTCGAAATGGACTGAAACAACGTACCACGCGAGCAAAGAGGCGCAAGGTTTCTAAATCCTCCAGAATGTTGCTGTTCTTGGTCGTGACCAAGACCATGTACAGCTGCTCCATTGGCTGATACACGTAGCGAACAGAGTCTGTGCGTATACGAGGGAGTTGTCAAGGATGATCGTCGAGTTGACAGAAGATGTGAGAGATCAGGCAAGAAAACCGGCTCGAGTTTGGAGACGACCGCAACAAACCCGTCTCAATAAAAGTGTGCTGATCCTCGCTACTGCGCAGCTTGGGAAAGGCTGCCAGCAAGCCCTCGATGCGTGAGCGACTGATCTCCATAAACTGACGCGCCACCAAAGCTGCGCATCACCGAGGAGCAAACGGGAATGAGACCGCAGTCGATTGTTCCATGCGGAACGAGAAGAACGGGAAGAATGGTGCAATAAGTGGGGAGGAGGAGAAAGATGACAGGGAGTCAAGAATCTTGAAGCCCACGCCACGAGTTTGTAATGCGCGAATGTGCATGGGATTGTGGAGCTGTTGTTTGTTTCTCTGTTTCGCGTTAAACCTACGCTTGCCCGCCTTGGTGCAAATGGCAGCGGAAAGCAAGACCTGCAGGCAACCATCCCGAATGCAAGATCAACGCAGTTAGCAAGGAATGAACCCCGATTGAGCGAGAGGTGGAAGCATGAATGGATCGGCCCCGCCTTGGAGCACAAGGACGCAGTGCTCAGTGCGATGTTGGGCGTGTGCAGTGCACGACCACATACCATCTCGGCAGTGAATGGACAAACGACGAAGACGCTGGCGGCGGGGTATGTGTTTGCGCAAGGAACAAAGACAAAAGGCCTGGGCTACACCAGCCGACACAAGGCCTACAAAGACCATCAAGTAAATGTGAGCTACACTTGTCACGCGCTCAACCAGGCCCGAGACAGGAAGACAGGGGTGCGCCCTGAGCTGTTCCTGGCTGCCCCTGGCCCGGGCCCAGAGTTGATCGGGCTGACAGAACAGCCACCGCTGCACTTACACTTGGTCATCAAAAAGTGGATTTTTTCGCTGTTGATCTTTGTTGCGGCAGCATCGCTAACAAGCGCGCCTTTTCAACGGCTTGCAAGCGATGAAAATGCTGACAATTAAGCGCTTGGTCGAAAACTGCGGACTTTTTATTTTTGGACTTGAGGTGGGCAGGTCCGACATGGCTGGGAGGTGTGGGCTGCTGAGGCGTCGGGCCGTCGGGTGCAGGGCACTTTGGAGCGCAAGGCAGAAAGTGTTGCTGAAGGATGGACTCAACACCTCTCAGCGAGGGTTGGTCGTGCTGGGTATTGAGAGCACTTTTGATGACACAGCAATTGGCATCGTGAACCACCAACGGCAAATACTTGCCGACGTCCGACGAACCCAGGACCATTCCAAGTATGTGCATGTGAACGCGCAGGAATGAAGGCGAAGGCACCCACTTCAGTTTCAATCAACGAGATACTTTTTGGTTGGCTGCTCGTAAATTCTGTCGGGCTCAAACAGGGCGTGTGTAATCAGGTTTGGGGGCACGGTACCGCATGAGGCTGGTCCCCAACACACGCAAGCCTTGCCCGCGCTTGTTTCAGAGGCGCTTGATTGTGCTCAGCTGCGCATTGAGGTTGGCGCACTCTACCCCCCCGTCCCGCCAGAGGAGAAATGTGCACATGCACATGCACTCCTCGCTTTTGCAGCTGGCAACTACACGTGCTTTGTGTTGTTCATGGAAGCTGGCGCGCGTGTACCGCATGGGCGGTGTTACACATGGCCTATTCTCTTGACCTTGATCTGGCCGTGTAGGAGATTGATGTGGTGGCAGCGGCAATCGGCCCAGGGCTGAGCAATTGTCTGGACGCTGGCCTGTCCTTTGCCGTTGACTTTGCTCGGCGACATCAGAAGCCCTTGACTGCTGTTCACCACATGGAAGCCCACGCACTGACAGCAGCTTTAACCTCGGAGGTATGGTGGGCTGAGCCTTCTAAACAGGAAAGGGGTTTTAGTGTGCCTGATGTCCCTCATAAGCTCCGGTCGCGTGTTCAAAGACGTGGGAGTTTCCTTCGCTGACGCTTCTAGCCAGTGGCGGGCACGCCCTGTTGCTGCTATCCAATGGTGCGTCCTCGCATGGGCTCAATATGTGTCATGTGCCCCAACTAATATTGGTGGCATGTGCACGCTGCACAAATTGAAACAGAGGTTGATGATCATTGGCAATTGGGCTCAACCGTGGACGACGCCCCCGGCGAAATCTTTGACAAGGTCTCGTAGCAATGTGTTGGTCGCGTACGAATGAGCCAAAGCCCTCTGTTGATATGCCAACACAATTGCATATCCTTGCCATATAGTTTGGGCGCCACCTAGGCATTGGTGGAGGCCGACAGGTTGAGCTCTTGGCTCAACAACTGCCCGTGCGTGCATCCCGATTGTTGACGAGTAAACAACCATTACCTCAGTAAATGAGCACCCGCACAAGTTCTCACATCGTTTGTTGGTCTTCAACTTGTAAAACAGTCACACATGCAGCCCATCTCCTTAGGCCAACTTCTCAGCCATTCGCCAAGGTTTGAGTTCAGTCGCACAAGTACCGGTCTTGGTATACAAGCGGGCCAGACTTTTATTTCTAATCGAGCCAAATACCCACTTCTTGGCTGCCTCATGATGGCGGCCATGCAGCTGTGACTTTTCCTTTTCTGGGCTCAAGACCCGCGCCATCAATCTGTCGAGTGAGTACGCAAAACGGGATGAGCTTCCTCTATTGGCTGCCAGCTTTCAGCGAACGATTGCTGACCATCTCCTCGTTCGGTTGGAACGGTAAGAAGTGTCGCTTGCCCGGTGTGTGTGTGTGTGTGTGTGTGTGTGTGTGTGTGTGTGTGTGTTTGTGTGTGTGTGTGTGTCCTGGCTACCATCTGAACTAACGGCATACATACAATGGTACCGTTGATCATCGCAGAGCACTGCGATTCTGCGATCAACAAGGACGCCGGCCTCGGCGCTTTGTGGCTGCAGGGGGCGTGCTCTGCAATGCCTACATTCGTCAAAGGGTCAGTTTTCAAGCAGTGACTTTTCTGCTGTCCTGCCTTCTTGCCATTCTTAAAGAGTGGGCTGAAAAATAGTACTAAGGCTCGACCTATTCTTGCTTGCTCGTGGTGCAGCTGCACGCGTTTGCACGATTTCACGACTTGCCTGTCGAGTTTCCTGCACCCCCACTTTGCGTGGACAATGGTGTTATGATCGCGTGGGCGGGCCTCTTACACTTTCTCCGAGGTACGCGATACCCAACGCGTGTACTGTCTTTCTACAGTGGCAAGCCATGGCAATACAGTGCGACCTATGGGTTCTTTTGCCGACCTGATGTTTGTGTTTGGTATCAAATCTCAACACAGGCACGAGTTCTGTGGCCCGGGATCCCCAAGCGTTGCGCTATCATCCCAAATGGCCTATCGGCCTGAATATGCGTATGTCTCACCATGAATAAATCAAAGGCCGCCCTATGCAACCTGGACTGCTGTGCCACGGATATGTAAAAACGGGCAGCACGATGTTGCTCAACTCATTGTGCACTTCGTATCGTACTGGTCTGCTTAGGTGCGGCTGTTACGGCAGCCAATATCCAGCTTCGCGCCCGCGACGTGCTGCGCCAATATTAGCAGGCGAGATGGCGCTCAAAAGCGTGAAGTGTGTAAAATTTCGCAAGGCAAGGAAAGATGTTAATTTGATCTGGTTGGAAAAAAAAAGAGTGGAATCAAGGCAGGCGAGCAGCACCATCGAGGCGGATGACACTGCCATTTAGCAGGGGGTTGTTGATGATTTGCTCCACAGTGAGCGCAAACTCAGAAGGGTTGCCCAGGCGGTTTGGGTACGGAATGGTGGAACCAAGCTCATTGCACACCTGAATACCACAGCGGTGTGAGCAGCATGGGGCCAAGCACAAGGCTAGAACCAAGCTGGAGGAAAACCAGTCGACTCACCTTTTCACCGAGGCCCTCAAGCAGGGGTGTAAGGAACAGGCCCGGAGCAATGGTCATGACGCGGATCTGGGATTTGGCCAAATCACGAGCCATCGGCAAAGTCATGCCAATGATGGCGCCCTTGGACGAAGCGTAGGCTACCTGGCCTACTTGACCCTCATAACCAGCGATGCTCGCCGTGTTGATCAGCACACCACGGGTGGCATCGCCCTCAATCTCGTTCTTCAGCATCTCCGGCACGGCCAGGCGACACACGTTGAAGGTACCTAGGCAAGCAACAGAACGCATGAGGGACCCCATCTGCTCGGATTGTGCGGCATGCCAGGGGGTCAGGGGGGCATGGCATGTGCAGGGCAAAATTCAAGGCATGTATGGATACGCACCCACGGTGTTGACCATGAGGGCCTTGGTGAAGGCATCCAGGTCGTGAGGACCACGCTTGGGATGAAAGGTGCGGATGGCTGGGGCAATACCTGGCAGTTCAGACCGCACACCATTTCACGCGGCAACACGTTTGGGTGAGGTCATTTGGGACGGCTGAATTGCATTGCGAGTGGAACACACACTCACCAGCACAGTTGACCACGGTGTTCAAAGGGGCACCAAGATTTTTATGCGCAAAAGCCATGGCCTCTTGCACCTATGAGCCGAATGGCCGAGACAGAAGAATCAAGCCTGATGAGGCCTGACAGCCGTAGGCTGCCACAAACTTTTCAAAGAGTGCGACTTCAGCACCTGTTCTTCGGACGTGATATCAGCCGCGATAAAGTGGCACGACGAGCCCAGACTCTGTGCAACATCAGCACCATTGCTGGAAGGCAAATCCAAGATGACGGCCTAAGGATCAGCGACAACCATCCAACGTGATGCATGAGTCGTCGTCCCACACCCCGCCCTCGACACGTGAAGTTCAACTTGACATGAACCTTCACCCATCGTTGATGCAGAACACCAGCCACTGGCTCTGAGGCCCACACACCTTGCCCCCGGAGGCGACGATGCGTTCAGCCGTGGCCCGGCCAAGACCCGACGCCGCCCCGGTCACCAGAGCTCGCACACCTGTGGACAACATGATGGAGGAGTTGAAGGAAGAGAAGCGCAAAGAAGGAAAAAAAAAAAAATCAAAAATCAAGAAAATCCATCTGACATTCTCGATATATGATCATCTGCTCTTACTGCGTTCGCTTGCTCAGGTTAAGCTACCAAATGGCATTGGACCCTTCAACTGCTGTTTTCCCTGTCTCTTTCTCTCTCGTTTTAGTGTGGTGATTGTTGCCGACGAGGCTGGGGCTGAGCCGGATCGAGCCATCCGAGTCTGTCAGAGGGCGGGGGTGCAGGCACAGATACTGGTTTCGAGTCTGCTACTCATACTTGAGGTCAATCCAAGACCTGTGAGCAGACCAGAACTGTTGACTGCCCGATCAAAACTGAAAATACGATCATTATGGCGCTGCCACTGTTCAGCATGCGTGCCTGGCTGGCTGTGGCCTGCGGTCTTCTCATGTTGAGTACCGTCACTTCGGGCATGTCCTTTACGCTCAAGGGCGATAGCGCCAAGTGTCTGCAAGAGGATGTTGAGAAGGATGTTCTTGTCGTTGGCAACTACAAGATCTCTTCCAACGAGAACGTCGACGTCACCCTGGAGGTCAGTCAGTGGTTTGCCTTTTTAAAACCCCCAGTCTCTGCGCGCACACACACACCACGATATTGATGCCACAACGACCACTCCCAAGCCAAAGATATCGGGCATCTTTGGGCTGCGATCGGTTGAGGAGGGGCTTGAGCTTGCATTCCTTGCAACCAACATGTCAACACTAAAGTCATTGAATTGCCACCTCTCTAGATCACCGACTCGCGGGGTCATCCCGTATATCGGAAGGAAGAGGCTGAGTCTGGCAAATTTGCTTTCACCTCGGATGATTACGATGTCTTTGAGATTTGCTTCCATAATGAAGTGTCCCGGCTTCCCCCCCCCCCCCCCCCTCCCCGCTGAGCCTCGAGCTTTGTTTTTTTCTTCTTCTTTCACTTTGTTTCGGTTCTGCACAACCCCTTGACGCCACAACCTGGCCCGTTCATTAGACGATGCCCAACATACCGATGTTGAGATTACCCTCACCGTCAAGATGGGCGCCGAAGCACGCTCATACCAGGAGGTTTGTTTGCGTGCCATAGCCTTGTGACCCTTCTGCCTTAAGCCACCTTCCCATCAACACCATCGGCCGTGTCCTTCGGCCCCGCCGATCGCCCTCTCATTCTTGCCATACCTGGCAACCCCACTGCAGCTGGGCAAGGCTGAAAAGCTCAAGCCTATGGAGCTCTCTTTGCGCAAGCTCGAAGACATGAGCAACCAGGTTCTCACGTCGTTCCAGCACCTCAAAGAGCTTGAGGCCTCTCATCGTGATACCAATGGTATGGGCCCCTGCGCATATCACGCTTTTGTTTGGCACCACACCACCCTGGAATTCCACTGGGCGCCCCTCACGCTGCCCGACCTTACACGGATAGAACAAACTGCTGAACGCATGCTTTATTTTAGCATCTTCTCCATGGTGGTCCTAGTCGTGCTTGCCGTGGGCCAGGTATGCTCGATCCGATCCCATAGTCAAGTCCCTGTGCGATGCTCCTACCTGAATAACTCTCACTCACAATATTTTCAAAGAAGCGTGAGTGTCTCACGAAACTCACACAATTTCTCATCTGTACCGTCTCCTCGTCTTTCAGATTGTTTACCTCCGCCGCTACTTTCAACAAAAAAAGCTGATCTAATGTGGTTCCGTGGCGACTGTCTCCGTGGCATGCTTTTCTCACATCAAGACAGGGCTATGCGTCATTTTCAATCTGAAAAGCCTGGCACATCCTTTTGGCCCTTGAGCGTCTCGTCATTGTCTTTTTATGTATGGAGACAACATGCGACCATGGCGTGCTGCATACGTTTACAACACATTGGCACGAATGACCAGGCCCTTTCTTTGCGCTGTCAGCTTGATCAATGCCGCAAAAGGCAGTTTTCAAGAACAGGATCATCATTTGAGATCAAATCGAGGTTTTTTTTTTCCGCTAATTCGTTTGCATCATACTCGAAACCCCAAACAAAGTACCATGCAATCGTGTGTCGCATATGCCAATTGCACGGATATCATCGATGATTGCCAAAGGGAAAATGCGCGCAAAGCGGATGCAACCATCCCATTGTATCCCCTCAGACAAGGGCAGCGGGATGATGGCAGGCTGACTACCTTTAAGTGTTCAAATTTCAGGTCGGGAAGGGCGCCACGCCCAATGTAAGAGGTTCGAATCAGGCATGAGCTTTTGCAACGCCTCACGTTCGTTATGCAGTTTATCGTACAGCGCATCATATCGCTGAACCTTCAGTTCATATTCCTACATCGAGACACAGATGAGCTTTGTCAAAGAGGACCGACCGACCGAGGAGCGGAGCGAGAAACATGACGTGAGTGTCGACTTACCGGTCGTAGCTGCCGGGCAGTGGTTTCCAGGCTGGCGATTGCTGATTGATACTCGGTACTGGTCACGGAAAGTGAAGTAACTCTAGATTTCCAAATTGTGAGGAAGCAGCTTAAAGGCACGCCAACAGCAGAACTACTGTAGACATACTTGCTGGCCATGTCTTGTAGCCTCGTCTGCAAGCCCTCAATCTCCTGGCGAAGCTGCTCCAGAATGGCACGATCTCTCTCAAAATGCCGCAAGCGATTGGCAACACTTGGTGCAGGCGGGGGGGTACTGCTGGGGCGTAGGGCGTGGTTCTCCGACGATGGACCCCTGGCCGTCTCACGAGGCGATGATGCTGGCTTGCCAGCACCGCCGTGTGTGCCCGATGTTCCACCGCGGTTCCCGGCCGTGTGTGGCGACGGGGCTTGACGAGTTGTTGAACGACGCGGTGAGGTTCCGGCTCGAGGTGATGGGCGGCTCAAACCTGTTGGCAAGTTGACGTGGGCCTTGAGGCTCTGCAACAACAGTCGACCCATGTCATGCCATGAGCGGATGCATGTCTGATCAATTGTTCCGTTTCATTTCATTGCACCCAATCCAGTCAAGCTTTGCAAGTCCTTCATCAGAAACTAGACTGGCCGAGCACGAGCGCCGTTTTTGGTACTCACCCCTCTCGCAGTGCTTATAAACGATAATGAGCCAGCGTCTGTTCGCTCGCCATGAAATGAGTGGTCCATGGCAAGATGGAAAAATGTAAAATTCAGTATGAGCCCAGGCTGCAAAGCTATTGTAAGCACGCCGTACCAGAGGTAGAGTGCTGCCAAACGTCGATGCTAGTGCTTCCCAACGCCTCCGAGGCCAGGTGCAGTTGAGCCCCCCCTGGAGCGGTTAGCATCTGGCACACACGCCAAAGCATTGTCGGTGTCAGGCTGAGGCCACAGTCAAACTGACAAAGCAGCCCACTTGAACCCAGGGTAGAGTTCATAGAAATCGCTTGGTGTCAGTCAAGAAACATACCCCAGGGTGAGTCGGTCGCGGAATTTGCCAGGTCAAATCCTCTCCAATCATCTACAACACGAACATGAACAGCGGCAACATTGGCCAGTCGCCGGACAAATACATGAGTGTACAGGAAGAGCGCGAACCAACAGAAGCTCAGACCGGTCGCTTTTCCAAGCACGGTGTTTTCATGATTAGACATAACACACCTGTTGCAATAGTTCATCGGCTTCGCCGGTTGAGGGCCGCACGAGGTAGTACAGGTGTTGATCGTCGCCTGCAGCCTCAATGAGAGTTTCCGCCATGGCGACGGCGACGGCGATGGCGACGGCACAAGGGCTACGGTAGCTTGGTCTAGTTTTGCATACCCCACCGCCCCATCCAACCGACCCACCTAAACCAAGGCACGGCCTTCCTGCCCTGCTAGCAAGCTCTGCCCCTCTGCCAATGAATGCACTGCTCGTGTCGTCACAAAAAAGGTGGTGAGTGCGCCACTGACCACATCAAACACCTCTCTCTCTCTCTTTCTCTCATTTTGTCTGACAATTTGCTTTGTGTTTTGTTGAAAGCTGTTTATATGTGTGTGTGTGTGTGTGTGTGTTATTGGCCACTACAACAGCTTCGTTCATTTTTTTTTTTTTTGGTGAAAGAGGCGGTGTTGGGCTGTGTGGCGTTTGTTGGTGATTTGTTTGCCCGGGGCAGGGCAGGCCAGGGCAGGGTGACTGGGTTGAGGGCGGTGACGCGCCCCTCGGGTTTGGCTTCTCGCTGGCAGAACGATTCGCCATGGCAGTTTCTGGGCAAGGCTTGTCTGAGTTTGTCCAACATGTTGAGCTCTTGATGCGCAAGTCAGACCAACAGGACGCCCTCGAAGGGTTTGGGGCAGAGTTTCAGCGTCTACGCGACATGACGGCTGCCTACAAGGCCAGTACCTCTCGTGAGGAAGGCACCACCATGCACACCAAGCGCAAGAACCGCTACAAGGACATTATCCCGTATGATTTCAATCGCGTGGTTTTGACCACACAGCGCAGCGAAGATGAAGACATTTCCGGCTCAGACTACATCAATGCCAGCTCGTATGTGAATTCATCTTCTCTCGTTCTCGCCGCCACCTCACTCAGCTTGATTTGCTTTTGCTTGCGCCTTGCATTCTCTGTCTGCGGGACTTGATACGTGCCTCACGCGTCAAGATTTTGACCGCATTCGCCCAGCATGTCCGTTTGAAGCTACCCACTCACCATGCACCCATTGTGTGTGCGATGCCCCGGCTAAACCGACCCGCAGGGTGGAGCATGGCGAATCCCAATGTCGTTTTATTGCTTCACAAGGACCCTTGCCACACACCCTTGATGATTTTTGGCGCATGCTGTGGGAAAAGGATGTGCGAATCGTCGTCATGGCCTGCAACATCTTTGAAAACGATCGCTTTAAGTGTGCCAAGTAAGCTTGCACACTCTCTTAAGCGTCTTTAAATTTCGACATTATCTTGTTCACAAATGCTCACCTGGCGTCCCGCTCAGGTATTGGCCCAATCTGCACGAGTTTGACGTGTTTGACGAGTTTGAGGTCGATAACATGGCCGAAGATGCCATTGATCAGGACTTTTTGGTGCGCACACTCAAGGTGACCCACAAAGGAGCCTCTCGCATCATTTATCAGTATCACTATCATGCCTGGCCCGATCATGGCGTTCCCGCAAGACCCGGCAGTGTCATGCGCCTTATTGCCGCCTTTCGGGAACGGCAACCAAGTGACCAAGCGGCTCCTCTGGTCATTCATTGCTCTGCAGGTGTTGGGCGAACGGGTAAGTGTGGTCGCCTTGAGCAAAGAAAAAAAAGCCCCATGTTACTTAATCGCATTTGCCCCTTGTGGCTTTTTGCCCCGTTCTTGCTTGCGATATGCTCGATTTTTCTAGTCTCGCTCACCAGGTCACTTTCTTCTAGGCACGATTTGTGCCATCGATATCGTTTGGTCAATGCTCAAGCAAATGGGCCTTGACGCTCCATGCTTTGACATTTTCCAGGTTGTGTGGTTTCTCCGCCAGCATCGTCCAGCCATGGTTCAGACGGAGGATCAATACGTTTTTGTCTACAAAGCGGTAAGCTCCTTCTCTCACCCGCCCCCCTCCACACACACACACAGGTGCCTCGAGTTGTCATGAAAGATTGCTGCGTAGCACCATGCTAATTTTTCTGGGGTATAATTGCCTTTCTGCTTGCTCGCTCGGGTAGATTTTGGATTTGGTGCAACAGGTCCTGGCGTCGATGGACAATAGTGCCTTGCTGCCCAAGTCTACCGCGCCTGTAGCTATGGAATCTGTATATGGTAAGCTCGACAGCGGCATTTTTGACTTGCCAGCGAACCAATCTCAGTGTCCTTTCTTTTCCTCTCTTTCTCTTCTAAATTTCATTTTTCCACACACTCTCACTCGCACACATGTGCTGCTCTGCTTCAAATCGTTCGCGTAGACTCAGTGACACCAGCACCCGAAGCAATCGTCAAAATTGCAGAACCGGTTTACATCAACCCCGCCATGGTGCAGGCATGCACGTCGTCAGTGCCGAAGGAGCGCTTACGGCGCTTGTCCATGATTCGTGTACGACGCGTGCGCACCCATTTTATCAGTTGTCTCACATTGCACCAACAAATGCTGACTTTTCCATCGGTTCACACATGTCACCTTGCTGGGCCTTACAGGTTCCCCAATGGCGCGATAAACCACTTCCCCAAGCTGGCGCCAAAACTGACGCTGATGAAGATGACGATGCCCAGTGCAATAAAGATGAGGCGATGGAGAATAAACATGGCAATGATGGGGTGGACAATAGCTGGCCACCGAAGCGAGTCAAAGGACCCACTGGACCCCGCAAGGTGCCTTCCACGTGGGGATTGGCGATCAAGATGAACTACGAACGCTAATGCATCAGAAACCGCAAAGCTAGTCTGTGTGTGTGTGTGTGTGTGTGTGTATGTCTGCATGGGCAAGTCAATCGATCTGCGAGAAGCATGCCATTTCAGCCGCGTCGCGTGATCGGGATATTTTGGGCCTGCTGGCCTGACGGATGAGCAGCTCGTGGCTCAGGTCCTGACAGATCGAGACTTGGCTAAGCATGGCTCTGCACATCAGGAGCTCGCAGATCGAGGCCCCGCAGATGAGAACCCGCCGGAGCATGGCCTGATGGCCTGATGGATGAGCAGCTCGTGGCTCAGGTCCTGGCAGATCGAGACTTGGCTGAGCATGGCCCTGCACATCAGGAGTTCACAGATCGAGGCCCCACAGATGAGAACCTGGCGGGGAATGACCTGACGGATAGGAGCTCGTAGATAACCTATTGAAGGTGTATGTCCGGTTCAGTGTAATGTGTGTGGACAAGGCCATTGTCACATATTAAATTAGGTGTTTGAACCTCAGAGCTGAAAGCAAAGCTGTGCAACCCCGACATCAAAATCACGACGGCACGCAAAAAAAGACAAGAAAACAACACACGTTCATCCGCTTCTATCATGCCGAGAAGTACAAGCGCAAGGAATCACGCACAAGGAAACAAAAATCACAGAGGTATCCAACCAATCGAAGTGCATACGAGAACATGAATTGAAGCAAGGCGAAGGAACAAGACAGAACAAGACAGAAGGAGGGAAGTGGAACGACCGAGGTCAAGAAGGAAAATGGTACCGATCCAGGGAGATCGCTTCCATTTATAGCAGGTGGAAACACACACATCCAGTGGAGACAGAGAATGGACTATCACACTGAAGACAGGTGGAGGCGATATCAGCAATCTGTTGGGACCAACAGATGCCACAACAAGATGATACACCAAGATGGCACAGCAAGATGTTACACAACAAGGTGGGACAACATCAAGTACCAGAGGACACAACGTGGTAAAGTATACCGTCTCAGATTGTGCCTCTAATATGACTTACTCGAGCCTAAGCTGCTGGGGTCTGTCTTGGAAGGGCTTGATTTGCTCGGACGTGACTTGCTCGGGCCTGTTTTGTCAGGCCTGATCTGTTCGCGCCTGTCTTGTCGGATCTGATCTGCTCGGGCCTGTCCTTGTCAAGCCTAATCTGCTCGCACCGGACTTGATCAAGGCTGATCTGCTCGGGCCTGGTCTGGACGGACGTTAGTTGCTCGGGTCTAAGCTGCTCGAGCCTGTCCTTTTCAGGCCTCATCTGCTCGCGCCGGACTTGATCAAGGCTGATCTGCTCGGGCCTGTCTTTGTCAGGGCTGATCTGCTAGAGTGTGTCTCGGCCGGGCCTGATCTGCTAGGGCCTGATCTGCTTGGGCCTGATCTGCTCGCGCCGGACTTGATCAAGGCTGATCAACTCGGGTCTGTCTCGGTAGGATCTGATCTGCTCGGACGTTAGTTGCTCGGGTCTAAGCTGCTCGGGCCGGTCCTTGTCGGATCTGATCTGCTCGGGCCTGTCCTTGTCAGCCCTGATCTACTCGCGCCGGACTTGATCAAGGCTGATCTGCTCGGGTCTGTCTCGGTAGGATCTGTTCTGCTCGGACGTTAGTTGCTGGGGTCTAAGCTGCTCGGGCCGGTCATTGTCGGTTCTGATCTGCTCGGGCCCGTCCTTGTCAGGCCTAATCTGCTCGCGCCGGACTTGACCAAGGCTGATCTACTCGGGCCTGATCTACTCGGGCCTGATCTGCTAGGGCCTGATCTGCTCGGGTCTGATCTGCTTGGGCCTGATCTACTCGCGCCGGACTTGATCAAGGCTGATCTGCTCGGGTCTGTCTCGGTATGATCTGTTCTGCTCGGACGTTAGTTGCTCGGGTCTAAGCTGCTCGGGCCGGTCCTTGTCGGTTCTGATCTGCTCGGGCCTGTCCTTGTCAGCCCTGATCTGCTCGCACCGGACTTGATCAAGGCTGATCTGCTCGGGCCTGGTAGCTGTTCTGATCGGACGTTAGTTGCTCGGGTCTAAGCTGCTCGGGCCTGTCCTTTTCAGGCCTCATCTGCTCGCGCCGGACTTGATCAAGGCTGATCTGCTCGGGCCTGTCTTTGTCAGGGCTGATCTGCTAGAGTGTGTCTCGGCCGGGCCTGATCTGCTAGGGCCTGATCTGCTTGGGCCTGATCTGCTCGCGCCGGACTTGATCAAGGCTGATCAACTCGGGTCTGTCTCGGTAGGATCTGATCTGCTCGGGTCTGTCTTCGGAGGGCCTGATCTGCTCGGGCCTGATCTGCTCAGACGTGACTTGTTCCAGGCTGATCCGCTCGGGTCTGATCTGCTTGGGCCTGATCTACTCGCGCCGGACTTGATCAAGGCTGATCAACTCAGGTCTGTCTCGGTATGATCTGATCTGCTCGGACGTTAGTTGCTCGGGTCTAAGCTGCTCGGGCCGGTCCTTGTCGGATCTGATCTGCTTGGGCCTGTCCTTGTCAGCCCTGATCTGCTCGCGCCGGACTTGATCAAGGCTGATCAACTCGGGTCTGTCTCGGTAGGATCTGTTCTGCTCGGACGTTAGTTGCTCGGGTCTAAGCTGCTCGGGCCGGTCATTGTCGGTTCTGATCTGCTCGGGCCCGTCCTTGTCAGGCCTAATCTGCTCGAGCCGGACTTGACCAAGGCTGATCTACTCGGGCCTGATCTAATAAATAAATAATAAATTAGGTTCTTGAACCTCCGAGCCGAAAGCAAAGCTCGGGCCTGTTCTGCTAGGGCCTGATCTGCTCGGGTCTGATCTGCTTGGGCCTGATCTACTCGCGCCGGACTTGATCAAGGCTGATCAACTCGGGTCTGTCTCGGTAGGATCTGTTCTGCTCGGACGTTAGTTGCTCGGGTCTAAGCTGCTCGGGCCGGTCCTTGTAGGTTCTGATCTGCTCGGGCCCGTCCTTGTCAGGCCTAATCTGCTCGCGCCGGACTTGACCAAGGCTGATCTACTCGGGCCTGATCTAATAAATAAATAATAAATTAGGTTCTTGAACCTCCGAGCCGAAAGCAAAGCTCGGGCCTGTTCTGCTAGGGCCTGATCTGCTCGGGTCTGATCTGCTTGGGCCTGATCTACTCGCGCCGGACTTGATCAAGGCTGATCAACTCGGGTCTGTCTCGGTAGGATCTGTTCTGCTCGGACGTTAGTTGCTCGGGTCTAAGCTGCTCGGGCCGGTTATTGTCGGTTCTGATCTGCTCGGGCCCGTCCTTGTCAGGCCTGATCTGCTCGCGCCGGACTTGATCAAAATAAATAAATAAATCATAAATTTGAACCTCAGAGCCGAAAGCAAAGCTGTGCAACCCCGACATCAACATCAAAACGGCACGCAAAACAACACAAGAGAACAAGCTACATTCATCGGCTTCTATCATGCCAAAAAGTACAAGCACGACGAATCACGCACATAGAAACAAAAATCGTACAAAACGACCAAGTATAACCAGATATACGGCCATTTCAAACACTAGACACATAAAAAGGCAGTCACACATCACAACTGCAAGCCATTACAGCACAAACATAAAGAACACCACGGCACGCTCACATACAACAAGAGACAGCGTCGGGTTGAAAAGGCAACCGACCACAGAAGGAAAAGACATCATACAAAGGACTTTACAAAAATTCAGCAAAAATACCACACAAATACAGCAAAAATTAAAGCAAAGAAAACAAGTCAAGCCATGAAAAGATCACAACGAGAACCACCTAGGGAGCGACAGGTGCACACAGGGATCCCCACAGAGGGACCCCCGAGACGGTGCCTACCTACGACGAGCGCAGGCAGACACCGCCAAAGTGGCGCTGGATGTGGTTAGCGTTCATCTGATGGACCAGCGCCGCAAAGCGACCCTTCCACCGAGGAACAAAGGCCTCATCCAGCCCCGGCTGGTACACACCACGGGCCTCGGCGCAGCGGGCGAGCTGACCAAGCAGATCCACAAAGGAGGAGGCGAACCCACCGGTTGTCGTCATCGCCGCAGGGACGATCAGAGTTTTTCCATGGTTGAAACCGGTGTAGTAGTCGCGCTTCTCCTTTTCGGCTCGGCGAAGGGCAGCGCCCACCTTGATGCAGGCTTGCGAGGTGGTTGGGGGTTGGGCTGTGCGTAAATCCATACAAACTTATGTAGTAAAACAAAGTCGTGAGAGGCGACCCAGAGCTATCGCCCCTCGAACATTCGTCGAACGCGGCAGTCAAAACGTTTCAGGCAAAAGCCTTCACAGTGCTGTCTGATTCTAAAGGCACGCGGGGTCTTCATGTACCCCCCCTCTAAGAGTGCGTGTGTATGTGTGAAACTTAGCTAGTAAAGTCGTCCAGCCTTTGGGCATGAATGCTGACTGTGTGCAAAAGCAGTGGATGTGCTCACATGCGCGGGGAAGGCGGCTTTGACGGTAACCTGATGTGCGAATGTGCCGTGGTGTTTGTGTACCGCCTTGTGTGATAAGCTTGTGGGCATTGTTATTTCTCCTTGTTGGGACACCTGCGGTTGGGCACGAGCTGCACTTTCCCTATCCTCGGGATTGAGCGACTCTACAGCTATTCTAACGGTGCACCCGAGTCGTGTGTCAAAACACACTACTCACCTGGTCTAGTCACTGTGAATGGTTGCCGACCGCAGCTGATTCAATTGACCTTAAGGCATCATCAAAGCTTTCGCTCCGTCCTGATGGACTTCTCTCAAACCTCTCTCAAAACGTTTCTCAAAACGCTTCTTCAAACCTACGCGCTTCCTCGCACCCCAAAACCGGCCTCCAGACTTTCTGGAGCCTGACACACACCCTGTACGAGAAACAAACCAGTACTATAACTCTCGATGTGGGGCAGCTACGCTCACATTATGACATCTCATAGAATCAACAGATCTGCGCGGTTCGAGTAAAAATTCGCCGGCACCCCCTTTGGTGCGACTCCTCTCCAACAACCATTTTTCAAGTTTTGGTACCAATTTTCCAAAGGTAACAACAATAATTATTCTGTATAGCGCTACGAATTTCAACTTTGAAAACTTTACAAAAGTTTAACATAAACTCACAAAACTTTTACATGTACATCCGGATGTATCAGATCCAATGTTAAAAATTTCTGTAGGTCATGCACATCGTGTTGTTGAATTCAATTTCATAATTATTAAATTTTATTGTACGGAAGGAAAGTTTTCACACGATGCGTGGTCCTAATTTTCAGGTGTAACTTTTCATCGATGATGGCGGGCCAGAAAGGGTCGTGGATGCTGTTGGGTGGCGGCACGGTCTTAGTCTTGGGGTGTCTCATGATCTACGTGAACATCCAACTCGGCATATTGCATGGTTTGTGGCAAATGAGATGACTGCTCTCCACTGCCCCTTTTCAGTCGCGTTGCGCGTGCAGTTTTTGGCGTGACATCCTCCAGCACCAGTCAGCTGATTCCTCCCTTTTGCATTGCATGCTTTAGATCGCCTCATCCAGCTTCGTGCGCGAGAAGATCCGATTGAGATCGAGTCCTCAAAGTTCATTGCACACCGAGGCGTGCTGCAGCGCGCTGAGGCCGATTTATATGCGCATCTCAGCGATCCTGCGGCCCACGGTGCGACTCGTCTCATGATAACACGTCTTTGCCTCAAGAGCTCAATGACTCACTCAGACAAAGCTCCACATGCCGGTGGCAATTTGGCTAGCCATGACGTCTTTGCATAACCACCGGTTCTGGCCTGTAGACTTTCGCCGCAATTGCACCGTGAATCCCTCCATTCATTTCGATGCGACCGGTGAATTTTTGCAAGAATGCTCTCCGGTACGTTAGTGAGTGATTGACTGTTATTGCAAAACGTCGTGTTACACTTATATATATGCCACCTCGTTGTGGCATGTTTGGTGGCCAGACAAGAGGCTTTCTGTACAACCAGCCTGTTCAGCAACGATGGCCGTCTTCAGCAGTCATGTGCGTTGCTTTCGCTCAGCTGCCAACCGTCTGAGTGGATTTTCTAGTGCCTCGCGCTTGTGGAAAGAATAGTACTTGTGAAAAATCGGTCTCACAAAGTTTTTCTGGTTGGAACGACTGATCAATCGTGCCACGTGTTTAGGTTGAGCTTGGAAGGACACTGGGACAACTATCGAGTCCGGCGCGATGCCTTTCAACGTGCCGGCCTACAATTGCGGCGGTTTATGGGAGTACCGGGCATGGCGCGATTCAAGCACGAGTATGTTGAGACGACGTATAAGGGCAACCCAGTCTTGGGACGCAAATGGCAAGGCAAACTTGTTTTTCCTCGGCAGCCAGGATACCTAACGCCTGGCGAACAAGGGTATTTAGCAACGATGCGCCAGCTGTTCGAGGAGGCTATGCAAGACCAGAGCATATCAACTTTACTTGTGTTTGACGATGATGCGCTCCTGCACTGCAACTTCACGGAGGCACTTAGTGAGCTGTTGAGTGAGGAGCGATGTGGGAGTTTGGTGGACATTCACGGCACAGGTGGTGTGCTGCTGTTGGGTGCCACGATCTGGATCAACGGCACGTTTCCATCACGAGGCCGATGGACTGGTGGCTGGCGGCAAGTGATGTATGACATTCGAGCGACAGAGAAGCGGACCGGCCGGAGGACGCAGTGCTTCAACGTGGACCGAAAAACCATGGGCACATTTGGTGTAATTTACCATCGGCACACGTTCCCGTACATTATTGAATGGATTCAGCGCGCTGAGAAACCCTTCGACCACATTTGGGCTCATCTGACAGACAAGGGCTTTCCCGTGCGCGCAGCTCGCGATGCCATTGTTGTGCAAGATGTGCGACATGAGTCTTCAGTCGATCCCAGCCGAGGCCTTCAAGAAGACCTCTGGGCTCGGGCCCGCCAGCATCGCTGGGATATGAGCAGGTTCTGCGATCCTGCCACCGGAGCTTCTTTGCAAGTGCCCAAATAATTCTGTATTGGCTTTGCGCCTCAGAAGTTCATAGGTTTGAGTAGTTCCGTTTTGATGTGTCAAAGTTTTTGACGCTGCGTTTGATGTAGATGCATACAAAGAGAGTGACTGGTTTTGTGGTGACTATTGGTTGAAATCGATTATGTTGCAGTCAGGGCCATATTGTAGTCAGCATGGCGGAGATGAAGCACAAGACGCAAAGCACGTGTCACATCGGAAAAGCAAACAGGGTTTGCCTAGTTGTCGGTGCCGCTTGTTTTGAGGCGGGAGAAGCGCTGCTCCAGTTCCGAAGGCGGAACGATGCGTGCGCTCTAAGTCAACCCAACGCACGAGGTATGAGAAGAGTGCCCGTACGAGTCGGAAGCCATGAGCGCTGTGACCCACATCATCAACTGCTTGGGATCGTAGCCGCAGCTTGGCAGCCAACTCGCTCTCTGGAGGCTTGTTTCGGTGCGTCGAAGTTCCTTTCTATTGATGTAAAGAATAGGCGGGCATTGGCACTGTGAATGGAGTGCGCCATATCGTGCTGCGGACAGGCACCGGTGGCTATGGGCCCCATACTCTGATTTCAGTGTGACGGCGCCTGAATTCTGCAAGGCCGTTAGTCGCGGATGCTTTGGGTTCGTGTGCGCTGCGAGTGTGATGCATTTGAATGGCCTGCCATGAAACACAAAGGAGTGAGTAATCGTGCAGGACGGCATCAAAGTGGAACATGAGATTCTACCCACTTTGGCCAGATTGGGCCTATCTTGCAGCGGGGTCTCGTAGGATTCCATGCCTCCAAAGCCCACTGATCTGCGCCGTTGCTATTGTCGAGTTGAGTGGTCATGCAATGTCAAACAATGCATGAGGAGAGAGAGAGGGAGAGAGAGGGAGAGGAGAGGAGATTATCTGCAAACGACTTGCTCCTCTTTCCCTGGCTCAGGGCAGCAAAGAGCCGAGACTGACGCGAGGGGTGCCACCGTTGCTCTGGGGCTTCTCCGATTCGGTCGAGTAGTTGCTTGCTTGATCACTCAGTGGTTCCAGTTCCTCAGCCGGGGACATCCACGTAGGTGCATGCTCCACGTACGCAGCTGCAATCCATCCTTCTTTGCCATGTCGGTCCGCACCTTCCCACCTGGATTCATCGATCAGTCGAAACAGACGGTGAGTCTGGATGATAGAGTCTGAAATCGAAAAAATAAAAGGCGCGGGGAAAAAGCAAGACGCAAAACAGCGGCGCGCATGAAAAAAAAAACAGGCAACATGCTCGCGCACCAGTCATCATTGGCGATGTCATGTACAGTGAGAATGTCGCCCTTCTTGAAAGAGAGCTCCTTGTCAGTCTGGGCAGTGTAGTCGTGGAGGGCACGGACCTTTGGGAAGGGTGCCACATCGTCTGAATCTTCGGGTGTCGACATGCTGAAACGCTGACTTTGCAAAAGGCACTCTGATAAGAACCGAAGCAAGTCACAAAACCATCCAGCTGCCTACGGTCGCACCCAGACCACCATCAAGCAAGACGCTCAAGCCAGGTAGGTAGGTATTCCAGGCGGCTGCTGGCTGGCCCCGCGGATCAATCAACTCTCAGCAGGAAGGATAATGCCGCACGAGCTTTTCTGACGTTTTAAAGACAACAAGAGAGAGAGAGAGAGAGAGAGAGAGAGAGAGAGAGAGAGAGAGAGAGAGAGAGAGAGAGAGAGAGAGAGAGAGAGAGAGAGAGAGAGAGAGAGAGAGAGAGAGAGAGAGAGAGAGAGAGAGAGAGAGAGAGAGAGAGAGAGAGAGAGAGAGAGAGAGAGAGAGAGAGAGAGAGAGAGAGAGAGAGAGAGAGAGAGAGAGAGAGAGATTGATGAATTGGTTTGGTTGAGAGACCCACCAATAATAAATACAAATAAGAGAGGTCTATTATTTTTCTTGATTCTGGTCACTTCTTTCTTGTCTTGTCTTTTTGCTGTTTGCTCTCATTCTGGCAGTGACTGTTTTGGCGTCGCGCGATCTGAGCAATGCAGATTCGGAGCTTGGTCATGAGGATCGCACTGATGTGCGCGCTGCTGGGCGTTGTTGTGGCGAGTGGGCGTCGCCGTCGCACGGCCACAATGGATGATATCATGGAAGCGTGAGTCAAGTCGAGTCAGAGCACCCTATCTACGCGCATGCTGGAATTTGACCTTTTTGTTGTGGGGCCCGGGCTGATCCTCCTTGGCGTGTGTTTGGGCTCTTTAGGGATATGGAGCATCATGGGGTTGAGGACTTTGCATCAGAAGACTTCTTCCATGTCAGTAATCACCCGTGCCTACGGAAAGTGTGTCTAGCTTGCACCGCAGCCCACACCCTCACAACCCTCTTTTTTCGGCTCATTGGTGGCAGATGCACGACTACAATGAGGATGGTCATTTGGACGAGGCCGAGGTGCAAGCGGTAAATAATTTGAGCTGCTTGTTCTTGTATGCTAGATCTCATCTGTCTCCTGCTGCGTGACATTGTTGATGCTTAAACTATTGAATCATTGCCCTCCCCCACCCCACCCCTGACCCTGCAACTTGAAAAGTTTTACAAAGAGGTGGCCAAGAACATGCGGTTCCCGCCAGAAATGGACACGGCCATGATGGAACAGCTGGTCAGTGTGTTCCGTCCATGCTGTACGCTTGGAGTTTGCCCATCCATATCCTCCCACTCATCCAAAATCTCGATGCCCTCAGGTGTGGAACCTAATCGACATCAACAAGGATCGTCGTATCTCGCTGGATGAGTTTCGCCTCGGCCGTACGTGCTGCTACACGTGCACGCATCCTTTTGCTTGTTGATTTCTTTTTTTGGAATCCAAGGGCATTATGCAGAAGCCTCACACGTCGTTGTGGCATGCTTTGCTTTAGTCGACTTGCAAAACCAAGAACGCCACAAAGTTCGTCGCGGTCACTAAAGTCACTGCGCTCAGCAAACTTCAGCTTTGCAGGGACTAAAAGAGTGCTTCAAACGACGCGCCAGGATAATCAATCTTTTTTCTTCTTCTTTGTGCACCCATGTCAACCAAAGCAAACTTTACAATGTTTGGTGATTGCAATTTTGTCTCGGCCCATAAGAACAAAGGCAAGGCACTCTCGCAACTTGCCGCGAGGCAGCGTTGCCACAACGACAGGGTACGGCGACGGTTGGCAAAGGGTCCTCGAGCCATGTAAAACTGGCGAGGGTGCCACAGCAGCAAGCAAGCTAGATGGTCTACAGCATGCTGTTTTCCATGCCAATCAGACTGGCTGCCAGACTGCTGGGCATGACCTGAGACACCTGACCACTGTATTCGGACAGCGCACGGGCTGCCTTCTGGCACTGATCCATCTTCTGCTTGCACAGCAACACATTGACGAGGCAGTGAGGACGAAGAGCGGGAGGGTCGGCCCAAAGCCATAAGTCCAGTGACATAACCAAGGATAAGGTCATGTTCAACCTACCTCTTGCGACTTGGAGAACTGGCTTTGCTTCTGCAAACAGCAAGGAAAAAAAAAATGATGGGAATTTGATCAGTTGTCATGTGGGGATGGCCGCACCCGTGCACCCGCGCCTGAACCTCACAGCCAACCGACGTACCTGCTGGTGAAACTGAAAGTGCCAGCACTTCATGGCGTTGACCAAAAGGTCGGACAAGAACCGGCGGACCTGTGCAGGGTGAGCGGGCAAAACATTGAACTTTCTGTGGGATTGGGTGGAGGCATTCCCGGAAACAGTCCGTGCCAGACGAAAACAAACAAAACAAACAAGCTAACAAACAAACAAAAGCTCACCTCGTCGGGAAGGGCCTTGCAATTGTCGACGCAGGCTCGGACCGACTCGAGCCGGCACGGAATGACATTCAAACGGTCCAGCTCCTGATATAATCGGGACCGCGACAGGTGCGCGTGGAGTTGCAGATGGATGCGTGAATGCTGCATGGTTTTCGCAAGGCGTGGAGCGTGTGAAGGCAACACGATGAAAAACGTTGAACAAACCTGGATGGCCTTTTCACAGCCGATGACATCGCCCTCGCGAGCCGTACGCAAGAGAGTTTGCACACGTAGGAGGAGATTAATCTTTTCCATCAGCTTTTCTTCCCCTGCAAAGCGGCGATGCTGCTGCATCTGTTCAGCCAAAAGCTGCAAGTCTTGAAATTCGGCTGCCGAATGAATGCTGCCCGCCTGATCACACGCGCCGCCAGTATGACCAACATGACTGCGTGAGCTTTGCCTCTTTTGCCATTACACAGCAATGCGAGCAAACATGTACAAAGCTCTCGTACCTGTGATAAGCAGGTCACCATCAGCTCCAGTGCTCGTTTGAGCTCCTACCAAATTGCAACACGGATCAAGTGGCGCATTCAGAAAGGCAATATTGTTGAATGAGCAAATGAATGGTTACAGGGTTTGCGGGTGTGCCTTGCGTCGCGGAATACCGGGCCCGCCCCAGCGGTGACACGTACGTTGGCCATGTCAAAGAGGTTGATGGCGTCAGAAAGGGCGCCCTGCTTCTCCACCGCCAAGGCAATATCGCGGATAAAGGTTCGCAGTTCTTGCTCCCGGCCCTTGAACAGCTGCAAGAGCTGGCCACCATGAATCTGTGAAAGAAGGTACAGTCAATCAAGCCAGCGTTAGAAAGAGAAAGATTGACACGCCAAGCAGCTTCATTGGCACATGGTGCCCGATACCAATCCCAAACAAACCTTGTTGTCATCCCAATGCAGGACGCCGAACAAGTCATTCCACTGTTGTCATGCAAGGGGCATCGTCAAAAGGATGAGGTCGTGCCGTATCTATGTTCAAGGGCTACGCTGGCACATGCCAATGTTTACGTACACGGCGCGTCTTGAGAGCCATATCTTTCACAAGACGATGGAATAGGCGATTCTCAGGAGTACTGTCACCCGACAGACGGCCCTCGTCCTCGTTTGTGCGCCATTGAAGGTCGCTGTACGGGTCACAGACAGGTATGCGTGTGGGGTGAGGATTCTTCTTGTTTCTCGCAGGCAAGAGGAACCACAACTACAGCCAAATTTGCTTTCTCCGCAAGTTGACTGATAGACGGCAAGACAAGACACAGTCTCCCACACATGGTCATACAACGTACCGCATCAGGTAAAGATAATGAAGGGCCGGCTCCACGTCGGTGCAATAGAACGCGTGAACATAGCGCTGCAAAATGAGCCCGAGGTTGATCTGATGGGTTGATGAGGCACCCTGCTCTTCTTCAGCCCGCACTTCAGAGCCAGTTTGGAACACATACACATGATGGAAGCGGGCACGAGCGCCACCAAAGTCGGGTGGACATGAGTTTGAATGAGAGCATTTCGTGTTTATTCCATTTTAACACTCGAGTAGACTTACGGCTGGCAAATTGCATGCTAGGTGTGATGGCCAAAACACCCAGCCAGTACAGAGGCAAGGCAAAGTGGAGGGCCAAGGTGGTGTCACGCAAGGAAAGAAAGTGGACCGCCTACGTTTTGTGAAAGGATGCGAATCAGTCTGATTGTAGGGATGTCGCCTCAAGTAGCACATCCAGCACACCACACGGCGTGTCAACAAACCTTCTCAAACTGCAAGGAGAGGAGCAAAATGCGCAGGTATTTCCAGGGCTCGCGGTCCGCCTGAAAGTGGCTTTCACCTGCCGCGACATGAAACAGTGATTTCAGTTAGCGTAGACAACATGGTGTTGAATCACAGGGCGGGGACAAGCACATGGCAAGTCAAATGGAGGAACAAAGCCTGAAAAGAATTGCAACAGCCCATTTTCTTGTTTGGTCAAAGCATGGCGGGAGGTCCAATGAGAGCACCTACCGTAGGTCTCGGACAAAAGTCGCTGCAGCTGATGCATGGCTGGTGCCACGTCCTTCTCCTCAACGGGTAGCAGAGAAAGCTACAGCAGTTGTGCACGCATGACAACTTAATGAGGGGAGAATGAACAAACAAACAAAAACTACAGCCTCGGCGCGAATACGTGCAAGGCGAACAAGTGCGGACAGGAAGGCAACAAGACGGACCTTAATCCAAATGAAGTCCTCCACATTGACCGCTACCTCGCGATGGGCATCGCGCTCGCGTTCGCAGACACCCAGGATGTTCCACACGGCTCGCTCATACTGCGTTGGGATTGGATGATGCACGTCATGGGGTACAAGGTGAGGTCAAGTGCCAAAGTTTGCAGCTTGAAAGGGGATTGAAGTCAAATCGGACCTTGGCATTGTGGAGGCTGGCCTGACGATAATATTGCTCGACGCTACCTCGGACTCGCGAACTAAACCGAACAGGGAGGGGGCATGAAATGTGCGCAAAGCGGTGAGTGAGGGGGGAGTTGGCACGCAAGCTTTGAGTTGGTAGGTCAAGGCGGGCGGGGGCCCAGGCCTACCGTTTGTTGCTCTTGTATGCATCCAGGCTCTCAATCAAAATGTCCTTTGCATCGAAATAGTTGGCAAACTCGAATGCCAGATCAAGATTGCCAGTACGCAGGCAATAGTAAAGCCGGGCCCAGTCCTGTTCGTTGGAGCCGTTGGCTTCACTTCCTAGAACAATGCGCACGTAATCGTCCACGCCGTCCTTGGAGAGAACGCTGCCTTGGTATTGCCCCTGGTTGAGGGCACGCTTCATGCGTTCCGTGTATCTGAGTCATCATCATCATCATCATCATCATCATCATCATCATCATCATCATCATCATCATCATCATCATCATCATCATCATCAGCGCCAGTCAGGTGAGGGGTAGGCAGACAAACAACAATGCAGATAAATGAAGAACACGGGGGCTTCAAGCTGTGCAGGAAGACCAACCGGGATTCCAGCACTCGGCGGCTGTTCGCGATGAGATGGCCAAGTCGATCCCCAGACCAGCGCTTCTACAAAGGGTAAGGTTGTTGAGCAGAACAGCAAAGGGTGTCGAGACTTGAGTATGGGGCAAGGGTCGTACCTCATAGTGGCCTGCGTCCTCAGGCAAATTGCCCTTTTCATCTTGCAACAGACCGCTGATGATGCTCCACGCGTCCTTGATGTCGTCACGACTCTACAAAATACAACCAAGAGCAACACCCCGGAAAGCAAACCCAGCAAGGCCCAATGTGCACATGAACAGACCGTTCTGGCCACGAGGCCTTGGAACACGAACAAAAACACGTACCGCAACTTCGACTTCGGATGAGCATTCCTTCATTCGCTGCACAAATGGATACGATGCCTGCCAAGAGAGCCCAAGGGGCGAGGAGTCAGACATCAGGCATCGGCTTGGCATGAGACGATATGCGATAGGAGAAACGTACTTCCTGCGCCTGGGCACGAGCGGCATCCATGACCACTTGCGCGTAGCGATGCATGCGAGAATCCATGGAGCTGTAATCCTGCATCGCGGCGGGGGGTCAGTAAAGTCAGTGAGGGGAGGGGTTCGGGCGGTGGACACCACCGGACGAGACAAGATGCAGACCCGTCAAGCTCGTACCATGGGGGCATTGAGATCGCGCGGTTTGACAACGGGCTCCTGGTCAAGCATGCTACCAATCTGCAAAACGTCGCGGATCGAATTCTGCTGCTCTTCCCAGTGATGCTCCATGTGACGTTGGTGGCGCGCACGGAAGTCCTCCTCAGCCTGTGAAAGTGCAATGAGCATGGGCCCACAAACTATCCTCAAACCAGAATAGCCACCTCTCCCTGCCTTTGGTGATTGTTTGAATCCTCACCTTGTTCAGCGAAGTGGTCATGACGGCCATAATGGCATTCTGCCGTTCACTCTTGAGAAAGTCCTAGAGAAACATCCCGCAGGTAAAGAAAGGGAGAGAGAAAGGAAGAGAGAAGGGAAGAGAGAAGGGGAGAGAGAAAGGGAGAGAGAAAGGAAGAGCGTGAGAGGAAAAGAAGAAGAAGAAGAAGAAGAAGAAGAAAGGGCAAGGGTGAACATGGCATGACCCAGACAAAAGGTCAAGTCGGGTGATGGCAAGGATGGTAATGTGGAGCCAAGAGCGTGCCGACCTCGACATTGGCGGGGGTACCGCTGAAGGGCTGCAAGGTTGGCTTGAGGTTGAGTGATTTGATGTTGCGCTCAAAGTCCTCGACGTCAATGCCATGTCGAGCCAGAGGAATTTGACTGAGAAAATGCGGCAAAGAGTCGGGCGCATCAAAATATGAACCGAGCGGGTGGGCCAACTAAGTCGAGCACCAACTGCGAGCTCGCCCGAGAGGGGCATCATCCAATCCTTAAAACAACACAAGAAGAGCCTCAAATCAGGCGGGCACGTACGCTTGGGTTTTGGCATCGCCAGTGCCACGGGCCGTGCGCTGAGCCAAAAGCTTGGCTTCTACTCGGGTTTGCTGGACCGAGCGCTCGAGACGCAGGCCGCCCAAGGCCAGGTTCTGCGAGTTTTGCAGACCTGTATTGGTCTCTCGTGCACGTTGCACGAGGTCTGCGAGAGAAGCTGCCATGCTGGCCAACTAACCCACCGTACCTAGTATCAGAGCATTAACGCAGGGCAATACTTTTAAGAAGCAGCCGCGGCGGCGCTGCATTTCATCTCGCGCCAACACACGGCACGACAACACGCGAGGACATGCCACTGCCGTCGGAAGACGCTCTTCCTCTCTCTGACCTTGTCGAGAACCAAGCGACACAAGCTGAACAAAAAAAAATTCAAGAGAGAGAAAAACGCATGCACAACAGTTGAAAATTAATTCAATTTTGGAGGAGGAGGGAATACTGCCCTTGTTTTTCAACCTTTGACGCCCAATTTTTTGAACCTTTGTTTTTATCAAGGGCAGCCCATTTGCGCGAGCGTGGGTGGTTTTGAGGTGGGCATGTTAAGCACGGCCGCTGAGCGTAGCGGTTTTCTGCTCGTCCTGTACGAGCGCGTCCGAGGCGTATTGCTTGAGGAGCATCTCCTTGCGCCGGCGGAGGAGCAGCTGTTCAATGTCCTTCTGACTTGGCACCACGGGGTGTGACGCTTGTTCGAGTTCGCGCGCAGCACGTTCGGCAGCAGCTCGGGCTGCAACCTCGGCAATGCCGTCTGCTTCCTCATCCTCATCTACTGCCATGCTGCTTCCCGTGCCTTCGACCTCCTCGCGTTGGCGTCGTGCTGCCGAAGCCTTCCATGCTTCCACCGCGGCCGCCATGGCTTGTAATTCGGATGCAGGACGCGGGTGTGAAGTGAGGACAAGAAGAGGCGTTATAGGCTAGGTTAGGCAAGGTAAAAAAAAAAAGAACAAAGAGTGGGTGCAAGTGCAAACGTAGGCTCGTACCATCATCCGCCACGGCGCTCTCAAGCTGGCCAAAAGCCCATCATCCTCATCACGGAG